CCATACCACACATACCTTAGCATATATACATTCGTAAAGCGTATGAATATATTCTCACATATATGTTTTTGAAAATCTAAACACATACTATAAATATAAATGGCTAATTTTGTATTGTTTAAAAAAACAATACTACACTCATTGCCATAAAAATTTGTAACGTGTGTATAGTGTCAAAACGAAACGAATTTTTACACATGTGAGTACTACTTTGATATAAGTAAGTGATTAGAAAATCAAAGCAAAATGATTATTTATTTCAGAGAAAATACAAATGAACGGAAGTTTTAGTACTCTGTTGGACCTCCTCTGGCGTGAATGCACGATGCGGTACGAGTGGGCATCGAGGCATATAAGTTCCGTATGATGTTCTGAAACGCCTTATTCCACAGTTGCTGTAAACGCGCCTCTTGTTCGACCAATCTCGTAGGCTGTCCAAATTGCCGTCCCAAATGATCTCAGATATGCTCGACTGGTAAATAATCTGGGGATTGAACAGGCCAGGGAAGGGTTGTAATGTAGTGGAAGCAATCTTGTGACATCCTTGCTGTGTGGCCGAGCATTGTTTTGTTAAAAAATGAATCATGGGAGCCCTCATATGAGTGGCAACACATGCGGTTGAAGGATGTCATGGAATTACCGCTGAGCTCTTATTGTGCCATGGATCAATATTAGGGTTGACAGTGTATTGAAATCAATGGCACCCCATACCATCACACCGGCTGTTGAAGCGGTGTGTCGCTGTAAAGCGAAGACAAGATTGAGGCGTTCATCACAGGGCCTCCACAGACAAACACGTTTGCCATCACTACACAAATTGAATCTAGATTCGTCGCTGAAGACGACCTGGTTCCATTTCGTTGCAGTCTAATCTCGTCGTGCGGGACGCCACTCTAAACGGAGGCGTCGTTGGGTGAGTGTTATTAGCAGCACGCATAATGGGTGCCTCAATACCAGATGTCTGCCAACCATTCGCCTTGCGATGGTTTGAGAAGACACATGGTCTTGTAGTGAAAGTGCTGCTTGTGTCTGTACAGCGGTCAATGAGGCAGTTGGCTCTACGCGTGAGTGTCGTAAGATGAGGCAGTCTTATCGACGACTGGTCTGTTGAGGGCGTTCTGAGCCTGGTTTCCGAGTAAATAACATCTCTCCTGTCCACTGATCCCAACACCTCCTTACAGTCTAATCAGAACGGCCTACTTGACGAGCTACACGCCGAGCTGACGACACAGCTTCCATCATCTCGATGATTCTTCCCCTCTCTACATCTGAAAGCTACTCTTATTGTCTTCGAAGGCTGTGTAACGGCATGCCGACCTCAGAATTTCCTTTGTAAAATATTAAGTGCACTCAAACCAGCTCTACTTATATGTTTTATAACCCAAAGAGAACGTTCAAAGCCCTCTAGTGGCAATACATAAAGGGCAATCACGCTGCATTTCTAATCATTTGCATATCTGCCCAACATCATGCTAATTTGCGTTACGATCCATGCTTATTTCATGATGAGCAAATTTTTATGGCAATGAATATATATTATTTACGTTATTCATAAGTATGCCTTTTAGGTATGCTTAAGCATAAATTTGGATTCATTTCTGTACATTTTTTTACCCTACAAATTCAATCATCCATCCATATATATTGCATAATATTCCTTTATATGCTTTTATGTACTTTATTTATTCAATGTATTGATAAACTAATTGTTTGCAATGTGATACCTCCTCGTGTTTTTAAAACGTTAATATCTGATCCAATTTTTTAATAAAAATGTAGGAGGTAATCTCTTAAAGGCAATAATTCACTACGATAATAATATCAAAATTCAAAATGTATCATCAAACTTTTTTCTTTCATGAAATTGATCTTTCTTATCGGATTATATTTCTCGATACTCAACTTATTGAAATTCTTAGGGCGTTATTAACTTACTTTACGAAAGCAATAACCTTAACCTAACATAACTTTAACCATCGAAATAAAAAAAAAAGTTTTGGGGAAATAAGCATCTCCCCGAATGGCACGAAGATGGTAGGTCCTTTCTGAGTCTGTATAGGCTTGTGAGAAGTTTGCCATGAATAATTCACGATAGTTTCCGTTTTTTAGAAACCGATTTTTTTTTACTTCTAAACCTCTTCCGGTTGTGTACTTTTGACGGTTTGGAATTTAGCTTTGCCTAAGTAAAGTGCTGTGAACTCATGGTGAAGAAAAGCCACTGACGAAGTAAGTAGAGATCTCTCGTGTCCTTGGTTTTATTTCAAGACTTTTTTTATGAAAATGTGTACATTTATGCTTATTTTAAGCAGCCTGGGTGTGCATGTAATGCTTTGACTGCAGAGAAAACATAGATTTTCTTCTTCGATGTTTCTTTGCGTCACAGACGCATAAAAAAATCACCACATTTGACTTGCAAATTGACAACGTTTGCTTTTTGTAAAGTAGGCGAGGCTGCTTAGGAATGAAAAAAACTGTTTTCTGAGCCACAAGGAGTTAGGATTACCTGCCAGACGATCTAAGGAACGATTTAGTTGAAATACTCCTCGATGAAATAAGATTTGAAGGAGATACTAAAATGAAGAGAACTTAAAATGTAGATAATATAAATGCTTATATAAGAATTTTAAACTATTTTATTATAAAACATATTGCATGATTTAGAATACTACAAAGGAATACATTGTAAAAAGTATTTTTTTATTGAATTAACTACATATTTTCTTTTTGATAAGGATTTTTCACATTGAGCTCGATTATGAAAACCAAGGGTGTCAAACTCAAAGGCTAACTTGGGCCAAACAAACAAGGTTTAACTTTAAAGGGGCCGCCAAAAAAATCAATATTCATACAGACATGGTATTATTTTTAATAGAACATTATAATAAATATATATAAAAGAAGAAGCAAAATTTACTGCTCATTTCCTGCCAATTGACAACTCTTACCTTATACTTTTTTCCTATTTCGGGAATTTTTAATTTTATTATATATTATTGTGTGCCGATATATTGGCTGACCCACAAAAAATTTCACTACAAGGCGTATGTTGCCCACGTGTCTATAGTTTGATTTCCCTGATGTAAACTACTGCTCTGTTATCAAAATGTATGCAAATGTTTTTCTGTTTGAGGCTGATCCTCGTACCTCACGTAAAGATAAAACCGATGTACAGATTGTATTATCACTCTAGGTATTCTCCTCTTCTCTCAATATTTTAAGATTTTCAAACAATTAAATATAGAGTGGCGACTTCCATTATAAACTTTGTATCCGTTACAAATCTGCCCAAAATTATATGGCTCCCGAGGCCTCTCTTTTTTGAAAAAAAAATAACAAAGTGGAAAAAGAGGGATCTTAACTTTAGTTTTGAAAAAATAGTCAACAATAATTATTATTTGGCTTAGAAAATAGTAACATAGCTTGAAGTGGTTTCTTGAGTCATTTTTTCATTTTACAATTCGTTATATTAACGTAAATATTTACGATACCTTATTGTTTGGACTTCTGACTTTCTGAATGCATTTACAGTGAATCTGAAATTGTTAATTTTATTTTGAAAAGATACAAATCCAGTAAATATACATTCAAACATAGAAGAAGAATGGCTGTATACCCAATTGTATTGAAGCAAACATTTATGATACCCGAATCTGGACTAAAATGAGAGTTCCTCTATTAGCATTTTGTAAACATATATACAGTAAGTTTGAAATCATTAATTACGTTGCAAAAATTACAAATGCAATACACGCACATTCAAACAACGGAAGAGTTTCTCTACTTGCATCAAAAACGTTATTTATGTCTTACTGGAGAGAAAAATATGACTGTAAATTTGAAACATAATTGTTCTAAGTTTACACACAATTTTCAATATTTATTTCAGTGAGCATTTGAAATCATTTTCTAGGAATGGTAAGCAAGATATCCTGAAATTAGCAAAAAATTAAATTTTTTAACTGATTTTTTACCATTTAATTTGAAAAAGCTTATTATACGTTCAGTGCAAAAAATATCAAGTAATTGTAGTTGAATTACTTTTGTAGAATTGAATTTTCATAACTCGAATATATTCTGTTAAAGAATTACCTCATGATAAATTGTGTTTTTTAAAATTAGATTTTTATTCAATAAAATCAAAGTTAAATTCCAAAAAATAAAAAAAAAAATATTATGAAATTGCACGTGAACTTATTTATATATAACACATAATTTAAATAACAAAAGTAAATGTGAGATATATAGAAAGGGTTTTATGAAAATCGACTCCTGGGTAGGGGTAACAAGGGTGTACTAGATTTAAAAGACTCTTACATTTGAGTTATTGAGACTACCTATGTAAAATTTGTTCCTCATGTTTCTTTTGCAGAATAAATATTAATTAAAATCATCTTTCAAGGGTTTATAAAAGAAAAAAGCTAAATAATTGATTTAGATAATATTACATTTTAACTGACAGATTAACTTGGGAAATATCTAGTTATTTGGCTTTCTTTTTGTGTTTTACTTAGCTATTCCATTTGCTAAATCATTCTTTCCTTAAAGCTTACTTTGCAAATAAATGAAATCCTTTAAAATATTTATGAAATTTTGTCTTTATGGCGATCCTGCTTTCCTCAAGAATCAAAAAATAAATTTTCCTCAAGAAAAAATCAAATTTCCAATGTTCCACGAATTTACTGTCTATCGTTTTTTTTTAGTGTTGAAAATAAAAAAGATGGATTAATTTTATAGCAAAAAAGCCGTCGCTCGTTCTTGATGTGTGGATGTGAACTTAACTATCTTAATTTCGCAACTTTTCTCAACTAAATCATCCCCACATCTTCACTCAATTTCTTTTTAACTTTCTGTTTCAATTGTTACATTTTTCAATTCACTCTTACCAACAACATGTGTACCTTTTATTTTAAGTATGTACTAGTCATTACCCCACTTCGCAGGGTATCTTATGCAACTGTATGAATTTACAGTAATCGATTTGTAAGTTACTATTACGCTTGCATATCCTAGTATGATGGTTATGACTCTCAACTTGTAATCGAGTGGACTCGGGTTTGAATCCCGAATGAGACATGAATGTATCTTCCGGAAAAGAAATCAGACTTTCGCCTCAAATGGATAGCAGCGCACCCCTTCTTTTCTATGCTGGGATCACCATTTGTAATAAAAAGTCTATATTCTTCTCTTATTGTATTGTATGTTTCTTTTCATCTATCTCTCCTCTTTCGTACGTATCCCAGAATGAAACACACAGCAATCTTGCATATGGTAATAAACATTCTTATAGATCTCACTTTTAATTTAAAGACGGTTTGAATTTCTGAAATTAATATTAATTTATTTTTTACGCTCCCACAACCCAACGTTTGGTGTCAATTTCAGTAAAATGTATTCTTCACTAAGACCATGAATATCTACTTAAAAAAGTAACATGCTTGCCAAATTTTAAATATGCTAGTATAAATAGTTTAAAAAAGAAAAAAAATTCTTGCTTCTTAACAACGTCTTTCCAGTAGTCAGTTTCTGTAAAAACCGTTCTTATCAGATATGTACCCAATGAAAGAAGCAAACTTACAAAGTTTTAAGTCTGTAATGGGTCTAATAGTTTAAAAAGAGAATTTTTATGTTTAACTCCCTCTTAACCTTTTACTGCAGTCGTAGAAAGTAAAATTCCGTAAAACTCTTTTTTATTAAGTCTCTACTCAACAAAAGAAAAATGCTTACAAAGTTTCAAATCTGTTCAAAAAGGGTACTTCTTTTTATCCGTACTCCCATAGTACCCTTTGAAACATCCCAATCGGTGTCGATTTCCGAAAAAGGCTTTCTTAGTTAAGGGGAGTCAGTAGGGTAAACACCTTCGGAAAGTCGTATTTGAGTTTTTGAAATTTCTAAAATCCCCAAATCAGGACCTTTCCAATGATGTACCGTACTTGCCATTTTACTAATTAAAAGTATGTTAAAATGATTTTCAAAAAATAATCAGCTGATTAGCCACGCCCCCTTTGACAGATAGAAATGTAAACATTGACCTCTTAAATCTGGGAAGCTTTACCAAATCCACTCTCTGTTTTATTTATTCATACGCAATTAACTGTAGATTGACTGCAAGCGTAACCGTCAGGGTTGTTTACCTATTTTGGAGCGCATACACGTTTTTATCGTGTGTGTTTGGGTTTTTAAATTAAATATATAAAATTTCTAAAATTCGGAAATTTTGAAATTTCAAAGTTTTTGTTTCTTTATTGGCTAGACGTAAAAAACATAAAGGTACCTTTTAAGAAGGTATGAACATAGTAATAGTTCAATAATCATAGTAACAGTACTTCAAATACTAAAAGAGTAATGTATATCCTCAAGGTTGACATACACATGACTCAAAGGAGACATGTGCAAAATAAAGTTTGATTAGAGTTTTTCTTCTTATTAAAGTAAGTATTAAAAATACCATCATGAATTAAAATATTCTTGCATTTGCTTTCAAGAATTAAGTTCATTGTAAAATGTGTAAAAGAGGTTTAGACATGCAAGTTTTAAAAGGTAAGTTTGGGCTAGAAATTTGTCCTGAAATGTTGTGCTTGTCCATATGATGTAGAATTCTCTTTTTTAAATATTCATGAAGGAATGCAAATTGCCACAATAAATACCAGGTTTGTATATGTTGCGTGTTACATTGGGAGATGTGCAGAAGCTGGGAGAATGTTTTGCAGCATAATGAATCTTCGGCAACCACCTACAAGGTTTTCTCCTTACGGTAAGCGAATCTCAAATGATGTAAAACTTGTTTACGAGGAGTCCATTCAAAATGCTGCGAGGGAAGCTATTTGTGAAAATGAAGGTAATATAATAATATTGTGGACATGGCAGAAACGCGGTTACACATCATCAAATGGTGCAGTTACTGTGACCAGCATTGATACAGGTAAGGTGATAGATGTCAATATTCTTTCGAAATATTGTATATGAAAAAAATGGGCACATAAAAACATTGTTTTTGACCTGTTGGTGAAAATTCATGAAGTGGATATAAACAGGCTGAAGAATCGGGTAAGTCTTACAAACATAAAAAGTCTTCTGGTTGCTGTTGTAGTAGCAATGAGTTCTATATTTAGATATCTTTCCCAGCTTGATTTGTTGAGATAATTTTTGCATCGAAAAACACAAAACCCGAATGAAAGTTTTCATAATGTCATTTTATCACGGGTTCCCAAAACAGCATTTGTGCACATTGAAACACTTTCACTTGGTGTTAATAATGCTGTTTGTTCCTTTAATGATGGTAATGTATCCAAATCAACAAAAACTTCGGTAAATGGCAGTAGGACCTGGAGAATATTCGGTAAGTGCCATGAAAACTCTCGATAGAGAAAAATTAATGAAAACAAGCATGCTTTTTCTGGATGATCAAAGAAAATTAGAAAAGATAAAAGAAAAAAAGAAGATAATATTAAGAAAAATAAGATAAAAACCGGCTACAGTGCAAGATCTTTTTGATGAGGTAAAATTTTATATAAAAGCTACTGTTTTCTGAAAATTTTCTTTTCTAAACTGTGTTTTATCATTTCTATAAATTTACTGTATGCATGAACTGGAAATTTTTATTTTATATTTCATATATATTCTTGTGTATACTGAAGTGAAATTTTTGAAATATTCCTCAGACATTTAGCTAAAAAGCATATGTCGTAACACAGAAAAGGACAATTTTTATTAAGTTCCTCATTGTACTCTGCAGAAATTATTTTTTTAATCTGGCTGATCAATTTTTTAAAAAAAGATTTCACTTCTGTATAAAAATAAATGTTTATTTAATGCACACACAAATATATCTCAAAATGCGTTGCATAAAGCTTGTTACATACAAAAAAAAATCATAAATTTCATGTATAAAAACACAAAAATAGTTTACTTGTTGTTTTGGATACTATCTATGTAATATTTATATAATCTTTTTAATTCTTATATTTAAAGAAATTGTGTTTACATGTGAATATACAAAACACTAAAAAATTTTTTCGAAGTGCCATATAATCATGTATTACTGTCTTATATAGATTATATTTTTTAATTTGTGTATTCTTTCTCAAAAATTAATTGTATGCATGAACTGGAAATATTTATTTTATATTGCATATACATTATATATACTGAAGTGAAATTTTTGAGATATTCCTCAGACATTTAGCTGAAAAGCAGATGCGGTAACATAGAAAAGGAAAATTTTTATAAAATTCAGTATTCTACTCTACAAAATTACATTTTTAAACATACTGATCAATTTTTTAAAAAAAAATTTTACTTCTGTATAAAGATAAATGTTTATTTAATGTACACACAAATTTTTAAGCTTTGTTTTCTAAAGTTTCTTAGTAAAAGGTACATAAATATATCCCAAAATGCAATGCCCTTTTTCGTTGCACTAAACTTGTTACATACAAAAAATACACAAATTTCATGTTTGAAAACATAAAATCAGTTTTCTTGTTGTTGTTTTGGATACCATTTATGTAATATTTTAAAAATCCTTTTAATTCTGATACTTTAAGAAATTGTGTTTACATGTAAATTTATAAAACACTAATGAAATTTTTCGAAATGTCGTATAATTGTGTATTACAAAAACCATATTTTCCTGTATTGACACATTTTTACATAGTATTTATTATGCTTATAGTCAGCTTGGATGACAGTAATGTATCAGAACAGAAAATTCTTCAAAAATTGATGCATAATTTGAGAAAAATTATGCAAATGCTATAAAATATCTCGATAGATTAAAAGTGAAAAATGCTATACATGTATTTTCTGAGAAATCTAAGTAAAAGAAATAAGTAAAAAGTCTTAAAAGTTATTGAGAATAAGCTAATATTTAAAAAAATAGTGCAAATACAGATTGTAATTCATAATTTTTTTGATGAAGTGACATTTTATAATAAAAATGCAATTATCTCAAAACGGTGTTTTTAAAAATGCGTGTACCATTTTCTCAGAACCTATTCAACGGAAGCACTTGCAATTTTCACTGAATATTACTGATATGTTAATATATATACTGAAGTGAACTTTTATTAATATACCAATAATATTTTTGTAAAAGTCAGTTATCGTGAAAAAAATGACATTTTTCAAAAAATTCATAGTGACACATTACGATGAAAGTTTTTGAAAAAACTAAACAATATATTTGAAAAATTTCACTTCAGTTTAAATAAAAAGTCTAATTAATATACAGAAAAAAATTTAAGTCTGTACATTTAATATTTTATGAGAAAAAGGCACATAAAAATGCTCAATTTAACATTAGCGGGATAGGGGGTACCGACTTACCTTAGTAACTTTTAAATTCAATAATACTTTTCATAGCTCTATTCCTTAAAACTGGAATACTATTTTCATTTGAATCTTAATGATACAATCTGAAAACAATTTAGAACACTAGTGTAAAAAATTTGGAAAATAAATATTCGTAGACAAGAAATTAGATACCCTTTAAAACTTTGTTAACCTCAAGAGAAAAATAAGCATATTTTCCCCCATGAACTATTATTTGTTTAAAAAAAAGTTGGAAAGTGAAATTCTGAATAAATTTACATCTAAATTGTCTATTGAAATAAAATTGTTAGTGATCCTTATGTTTTCTGTATGATAAATTTTAAAAAACTACCCAACAATCTGTACATCTAAAAAACGTAGGGCACCATTGAGGATACGGGTTTATGTTAAGACCATATGTTACGATGAATTATCAAAGATTTGAGATTTTCCTGTTATTGTGTTGTTACTAATGCCACCAGATTCACATATGACAGATTCAGGCCCACGGAATCCATCATTGCAAAGGGCTAGATCATACACCTGTCATTAGCCGTGATCTTGAGCACCATGAAAATGGCAGTACAATTTGGCTTATTTCAATTACCAATTTTGAGAGAGAACACCTGGAGGTGGTCAGGCATCTCTCACATCTCTTCCCCTTCCAACTACATCACGAGAGGACTTAAGGCTGGGCGGCTATTTAGAGTATCCCCCCTCCATGCCGCAAAGGCCCTTCCATGCCTTTCCGGATTCAACCCCATGCC